TACGAACGAGGCTTTCAACGCACTACTACGCCGCGCAATATAGACGGGAGCTACGGCACGACACGATACGATACGTTCGTTATACTATACGCATACGCCTCCGCCACTTCCTTTGAGGAGATCGAGACCGGAACGGAAGCGGAAAGAGCAAAGAGTGTAGTAGGGAAAAGGAAAGAAGAGAGGAAGAGGCACAGTCACAATGGCGATCAACTGGATCCTACCCGTTCGCGCGGCTCAAGCTGTACTTTCCGTTGTCGTACTCGGGTTGATGGCTTATGGTAAGCTTCCTACCCCCTCTTCTACCCTCCGTCCCTCCACCATCTCACCATCCCCCCATCTGCTCCATCAAACTAACACCCTCAAGTATCATCATGGTGGTCAACACACTGGCGCCAATCCTCCCCGCTGGAAATAAACTACCTCATCTTCGCCCCCTCATGGACCATCCTCAGTCTCGTCCCCCTCCTCCTCACCTCCTTACCCAAATACGCTCACTTGACTGAAAAGGCTAGTGTGAAATGGGCTCTGTTGGGGCTGGAGGGACTGACCATGTTGTTTTGGTTTAGTGGATTTGTGGCTCTTGCGGTGTTTTTGAGTGGGAGGATTTGCTTTGGTATGGTGAGTTTGAATTCCCTTTCTATGCGCTGTTACTTTGAGATGGGGTGTTTGAGATGCTAATGTGGAGAATGAATAGGTCTGTGATGTAGCCCGCGCGAGTACGGCCATCAGCGCGGTTTCATGGCTTGCTTGGGCAGTCACCTTTGTTTTTGGTGTCGTTGGCGTTGTTAAGGGACGGCGTGGTGGTATGGGTATGTCGTTCGGTGGGAAGGCGCCGAAGAGCAAGGAGGTGGATATGCATCAGGGTGTATAGAGATGTGATAGTGTTGGTGGGGCAGGAGGTGATGTGTATATGACTTGGGAACTTGCGATCATCAGGTATGATTGCGGCGCGTTGGTGGCTTTTTTGGATATCCTGCTTTGCTTTGAGCATTGGTTTAGTCGTAATGCATACTTCTATTTGAGTATAATGTCGTGTTTTCATTTGCTATGAATGGTTTTTGGGGGATTACTTCCATGTGATACTCATAATTTGAGACGACAGTTTTGTATGAGTACGATGTGAAGTTGGGCAGTTGTAAGTGGATCATCACAGTTATCGCGCTCGTCGGCAGATACCTTTACATACTTGCTGTGATATTACCACAATCATCCGATGAGAAAGACTGTCTCTGCATTGTAAGCATACAATCTAGCCACAGCTTCGATGACCAGCGCGGACCAAGTTAAGGCCCAGTGTTGAGTCAAAGGCGCCTCTATTGCTTGTTGAGCATACAGTCAAGCGTCATCACCGGCATAGTGACAGCAAGTATTGGCATTCAGGCAATCAGGCGATAAGAGCAGGAAAGCTCTCGGTAGTTGTGTCGCCATCTGTCACTTTGTAAGTATTCCAGATAATTCTGGTGGACCCTAGATTATCAGTACTCTACATGACTGCATTAACGGCACATTTGTCATAGAAGCATGCGATGCCTTGGTTATAAGGAATTGAGGATGTCGACATCCGACCCGCGTGGTCGATGGCGAATTCTAGCCTCGTTTCGAAACGCTTGGTATGTAGCAGTGTGCCGAGGAGGAGATTTTGTGGATGCCTTATAACATGCGTTGTATGCCTGATGAAGCCATGCTGAAACGTAACAGAGACGCAAACCGCCTGGAACGGCAGCCTCGTCCGCGACGTTCGATGCGGACGGCAACAAGACACTTTAATCTTCGATAGATGAGATGAAAGTCGTGCAGTAGGAACGCGATACGTCGAAATGCTGCCTTGTTGTAATTGATGGCCGTGTTGATTGATGCGTTCACGAAGATAACTGTCAGCAACCCCTCAATAGTTCATCGGCACTGCTTGATTGGTCATAGCGCGAGCGCTAGCGTCTAACGTACCTGCGGCGGATCTGCTCCAGGATTCTGATACCTGCAACACCACGCCACTGATTTTCGTCACAGAACAAGAACTTCTGCATCTCGGCTGACACCATCTGACAGCGTTCTACTCGCGTTTCTCGGTTCTCGGCAACGCGTTTTCCACGACGATGCCAGTAAGAGCATGCTCTGTCCACCGGGGCCCGCATACAAACAAAGCGGCCAGATGCCATCCGACTGAATCAGGCAACGATGGCAGGGAATGCAATTCCAGTGATTGCCCCAAACGGCAATGATGCCGTTCTCGAATTGTTGGCGGGGAGCTTGGCGGGGAGCTGTCAGTTCCCAAACCTTCCGCAAATCTGGATGCAGGGGCTTTTTTCAAGCTGCGCTCGAGCGCTCGCCTGATACGTGTGCGAAGCGTGTCAGCGCCCATGGCTAGATGGATCTGATGGCCTGCGAAACAAGTACATCTTCTCTCGCTGCTTCGCTGTCCAAACATTCTTCTTTCCACTTCTCCAGCTTCACGCGCGCGTAAACATTGATCGTATCCGCAGCAGTTTTCTTGAAACATCAGTCCGGAGAAGAACGACTCGTACCTCGAGAGAAAGCAATCATGCCGAAGACCGCTGTCTTCACCACCATTACGCCGTTGCCGGCGGGCATCACGAGGAAGAGTGTGCTCGACATGTACCGCGATCATCTAGCTATGATCGACTTGAACCCGTTGGTTGTGGAACGGTTCAAGTGCAGGCCACCTAGCTATGCACCGACTGACGAGTATTGGTCGATGTGGTACACTATCAAAGGTGAGTACTTTTCTACATATCCACCAAGCATTTGCTGACATCTCCTAGACAAGGTCTCATATCTACCGGGTGGCCTGGCGACAGGTTCTGTGTCCTACCACGCATGCTTCAACGACACAGCGGAAGGTCTCAACACACACGTGTACGCGCCGCTTGGTCTCGATATCCAGGGGAAGTGGACAGTAGGAGGAAGACTGCCTGGCGAGCCAAAGCCTCCGGCTGAGCCTGGCCTCAAGACACCAAGACACGGACTGTATATCCGGGAAGATGTCAAGATGACCTGTTCGTCGCTACTGTTGAGCTTCGTCAAGAGGACATTCAAGGACTCGCACGGCAAGCTCGTGGACAAACTGGTCGAGAGAGCGCACATCCTGGAGTCAAACTTCGCGAACGAGAGATTGCAAGCGCTTCGGAATGTTGCGCCTGGCGAGCGAATGGGGCACGGTGACATCTTCATCGCACCACCACCAGACTACGACTACCAGCCTTCTCCCAGATACCTGCAGGTACCCTCCCCTCGCTTCGTATCACATACGCGAAGCCAAAGTGACCCGGTACTCTCTCCTGGCTTTTCTTCTTCCTCGACGCTCAATGGTTCCAACGACAACTCGCCTAACCCAAAAGATCGCCCGATGTCCTTCACCTTCGTACGCGAAGAGATGGAGGTAGCTTCCTCTGCACCCGAGCAAGGCTCCTTCCTACTACCAGCGACGACATACGATGGCGGCTTTTCACAAGTGCGCGAGCGATCGCAATCTTTGTTCCCTGGTAACGCCCCGGACGACGACCTTGAGCGCATCTACTCCGAGCGCATGATCTCTCTGGCACCACTGAGCCCAACACAATCCCCAAAAGACTGGACACCGGAATACGCACCGAGGGTGTCATACACACCTAACGAGCGACCCATCTCCTTCACATTTCCCTTCGACCCAAAGCATCCCTTTGACCGCAAGTCGACATCCGAGACGTCGCAATCGGACCAACAAAACCTTCTCGACGACATCGACGACGCGATTGACGAATTCATGTACACTTTACCCGCAACCACATACAAGACGCTACCAGCGACTACGTACGACCCCAAGCCGACTGCCGAACCCACACTCTCCAGCGCAACATACAACCCAGAACCGACGCTTACGAACGCTACCTACAAGCCCGAGCCCATACTGTCGAGTGCGACCTACGACCCAAGACATGCGCGGAAAGACTCTGTCATGCCAGCGCAGTCTTACGCCGACGAACCACCGCCAGTGCCGCTCAAGGACGACAAGTACAGGAAGGGTAGCATTAGGGGATAGTACGGTATAACGCAGCTGGTGATGCTTTGATGATCTTTTCTGTAACAAAATTTCTTCTGTCTCGATATTTTTCGATTTGGGAAAAAGCGGGTTTGGTGTTTGAGCGTTTGGATCTTTTATATATACCCTCTTGTATCAGGCTACCGGATAGGCTGGATGGAGTACCTTGTACTGTCTTGTACAACAATGGATTATGACGGCGGAAACGCTACGATACTATATCGCTCTTACAACAACCAAGTTGATGTGAATAAAACCTGTTTGAGCTACACTAAGGCCCAGCGTTACAGCGGCATGTACTACTCACACAACAGTACCCGACGTTTTACAACCACACTCCAAATCTGGCGTCCTTCTACCCGGAAAATTTGCTTCCCACAGCCTCGCAACATCCAAAAGCAACGCTTCCTGGTACTTCGCCCCAACAACCAGCAATCCAAACGGCCGTCCATTCCAATCCAGATAGCCCAGCGGTAGAGTCACCGATGGATATCCTGTGCACATAGTAAGAAGGAAGCTTAGTTAATAGACTTGTACAGGGCAAGGAGGCTTACTAGCTAAAGCAACAACATCGGGCAAACGGCTATCAGCTGGACCTATAATCACGTTGACATTGTGCTCGCGAAGCATCTTGTCAATCGCATTATTAGCCGCCGACGCAGTCGCCTTTACATCAAGACGGTTATACTCTGCATCTGTGAGCGAGTTCGCATCTTCTAGACTTTGGATAAGCTTGTCTTGTCGAGGGGAGTCTGGCGATAGCTGGCTTTAGTGATGAACAGAAGATGAGAATGGCATTTATGGGTTGGTTCTTACACTCTGGTAACTCGATGTCGCGATTTGTTTCGTTGAAATTGATTAGTTCCGCGAGGGTCTTGACTTTTGGTGAATCTAGGCCGTTTGTGTACGCTTCGAAGAGGTTAGAGAAGTCGTTTTCTGGGATGTGTTAGTGTGGATTTTGCACCTAGGTGTTCTTGAGCTGACTGATTGTGGTTAAGACGTCGTCTATGCTTTTATCTAATGTCTCGTCTGAGATGAGGTTGACTGGGCCGACGACGCGTTTAGCGAGGCTTGCGATCTTTTTGTAGGCCGCAAGTGTCTCGCGTATCTGCTCGCTGAGTAAGGCATGGTTCTGTTTCGTTGGAAGTGCACTTACGATTTGATCCAACGCCCCAGGTTGCGGCCTCTGAACGGCTTCTGGTAGATGCCAGTGGTGTGGGTCCAGGGTGGCGAAAGAGATATCTTTCCAGTCGCGAGAAAAGGAGGTATTATAACCTTCGTCGGGCACTTCCGGATGTGAAAGATCCACGATGACGTTGAGCAAGTTGACGAGATCATCGGTAGTTTTCGCCATGGGGCCGAGACTGTCCCGGTTCTTGGAGAATGGAAACCCTCGGTGTTCTGACACAATACCAGGCGTAGTACGAATAGTGTACAAGGCAGCACGGGTAGCGGGGTTCGTGAGAGAACCATTGAAGTCAGCACCAATGGATACAGGCGCAAAGCCTGCACTCACGGCTACAGCCGATCCTGTTGACGATCCAGATGGGTTCTGTAAACCAGTGAGCACTATGATACGCGTCAATCGCGGAGAAGCCTTACTGAATGGCCGTAGATACCATCGTCGACTACACCGCCGCGCACATATACGGATTGTGTCTGGCCTCCACGTGCAGACCAGCCGCCGCTCATACCGGACGCCCTGGAGAGGTCAACAGATGATGTTTCGCGCCTCTGTTCACTGTTCATCACTCACTTCCAGTTTCCGTATTGCTGTCGGGGTTAGATCGGAACCTCCAGAAACCAACCACAAACATACAGAGAGATTCGCCTTCCCCATCAGAATAAGTCCAGCATCCACCGCCATCCTAACAACCCTAGCAGTCTCTCTCGGCTGAGAGCCCACAAACGCCCACCCACCGTTTGTGGATTCGAGATGGAACTCGCTTGACGTATCCATGGCATCCTTACAATCCGGTTATTCCAGTCAATGCAGTTAAAAATACCTTACCATAAACATACCTTAACAACAAACGGTATACCATGCATCCCACTCCTCACAACCCCCCTCCGTCTTTCATCATCCAGCTTAGCCGCAATTTTCTCCAGATGTGGAAGCGGCGATATCGATATCATAGCCTTAAGTCTGTCGTTGTGTTTGAGGATCTGAGCGTGGTATTGGCGTACGAGATCGAGGCTGGTGATGCGTCCGACACTTAGTAGGCGCTGCAGCTCACTCGCTGTGATTTTCAACAGGTCAAGTTCCATGTTGGATGTGATTCAAACAAAGTGGAGTGCGAAAAGACTCTTCTTGGGATGGTGATGGAAGTCAAGCGGACTGAGAAGGTGCACTGGTGATGTTATCGGTGGAGATGCGACTACTACCTAGATCGTAGACGCGTGGTTTCAATGCAAAGGGCCGCCCTTACTCTACCCCCACGGAAGCTACGTCCAGTTGGTCCAGCCAACGAGCAACGAGAGCAATATCATAGAAAAGGACGGTCTCATGAACATCGCGAGCAATATCGGAACAACGTCAGCTTATACATTTACCTGACGATCATATCTCGAACCTGTATCGCAACTCACTATGCAAATTCCATCACATCTCCCCACTCAGTCACGCATACCCATTCGCCCCCAACCACTCCCTAACAACTCCCGCATCCCTCTCCGCATAAGCCGCATAACTCCGGATAGTATCATCCACAACCTCAAGCCCCTTATTATACCCCCTCGTATCCTTCCCCTTAAAGAACTCCTGAATCTCATCCGCCACCTTACTATCCGTAAACTTATTCAATCCAAACCTGAGGAACCTCTCTAGGACAACCGGGTTCCCAGCAAGCGCAGGATGCACCTTGGAGTCCCAGTTATCGCGAATGTAGTGCCAGACCTCCGGGCGGACCTTGGAGTTGTTGGCGAGGGCAATGGTGGAGCTGTGCTTGTCTTGCATGGCGACAGCGTCGGAGAAGACAAAGTCCATGACTTGCTTTGCGAGGTCCGGGGTTTGGACGCGGCCGAGGGAGCCGAGGCAGATTTCTTTGCCGTCGATGGACGTGGTGTGGAGGTACTCGTTTTGGACGGCTTTGAGGGCTGGTTCGCCGCGGTTCTTGATGGCGGTGGCGAAGACGGCGCGGCGGAGGGAGGGGTGGATGGCCTTGTTGTCTCCATTGATGTAGGCGTCGAAGCGCTTGAGGGCCTCGTCGACGGTGGCTTTGTGGCCGACGATGCCGGCGGAGAGGATGAGGCTGGCGCGGAGTTGGCCGACGAGGTAGTTCTCGCCATCCTTGAACTCCCAGCCGACCTTCTCGACTGCTGGGGTGATGAGCTTGAGGTGGTACTTCCTCAGTCCCTCGCTGATGTCTTCGCTGCCGGAGAAGACGCTGCGGACGTTGCCAATGTTGGTCAGAATCTGAGACCATACAAGGTAGTCAGATTCGTCCTGGAAGCGCTCTGCCAGTGCGAGGAGACCAGCGGTGGAGCCGTAACCTGCCACTGCGTTGGCGTAGGCGTCACCAACGAGGCCAATCTTGTCTTGCACGGTAAGCTGATCGCGGTCTTCTCCAAGCTTCTTCAGGCGGTCCGCAGGGTAGTTGGTGCGATAGAAGCCAGTGAGGTCCTTGTTGAGCAGGTAGAAGCTGTCACTGACGTTGCGGATTGTGTCTTCCTTCTGTGTCATAGCAGTGGTCTCGTGAACAGACGCGCTTGAGGCTGACTCGCCAGAGTGAAGGCCAAGCGGAATCCACCAGGTAGTTTGATCCTCTTCAGGCTTGACGTTACCCGCAAGGAGGAAGCGCTGTTGACGCAGTCCAATCTGACCAGGCTCTTCAGCTACGGTGACGACTGGGAATCCGATCCTGCGGACCCAGAGGTCCATAAAGGTGTTGACGTTCTGACCAGACGCCTTGCTCAGGGCAGACCACAGGTCATTGGTAGTGGCGTTGGAGTACTGGTGGGCCTTGAGATAGTCGGCAACACCCTGCAGGAAGACCTTCTCGCCAAGGTGAGCGCTCAGCATGCGGATGACTGAGGAACCCTTGAGGTAGGAGATGTGGTCAAAGATCTGGTCGACCTCAAGACCGTCGTATACGGGTACTTCGATGGGATGCGATGTTCGTAGCGCGTCAAGGGCGAAAGCTTGTTGGACGGATTCAGTCTAGAGAAAATGTCAATAGGCTGATGGTAGATACCTCGAGATTTATGACGTACGACAAACTGTCCCCAGACGTTCCATTCTAGTGAGAGTTAGCAGAATTCTGCATTAGTAGTGGTTTGACGTACCTGGGTATAGATGATCAATGGCAAGCCATCCGACCCATGTCGCGAAACCCTCGTTGAGCCAAAGCTCGCTCCACCAGTCCATGGTGACAAGGTTACCGAACCACTGATGGGCAAGTTCGTGGGCAACAACGTAGGCGACCCTGTTGCGGTAGCTGTCGGCCGATGTGGCGGGATCGAAGAGTACGGCAGTAGTCCTAGGTACGTTAACATAAAATCCAGCTTGTTCAAGCACATGACGCACCTGTAGGTGATGAGACCCCAGTTCTCCATAGCTCCGTGCGAGAACTCGTGAACAGCCAGCAGATCGACCTTGGGAAGAGGGTAGTCGATCTGGAAGACCTCGGAGAAGTAGTCGACAATTTTGTGGCAGTTGTCCAGGGCGAAACGACCCTGCTCCTTCAGACCACGAGTGGTGTAGACCCTGACGGGAATGTTCTTTCCGTTGTACTTGCGCTCGGTGAAAGCCTCGACGTACTCAAAGTCACCAATCGCCCACGCCAGCAGGTATGTAGACATGATGGGCGATCGCTCGAATACGACAGTGTGGAAGCCGTCGCGCTTGCTGGGCTTGATCTCCTTCTCGGGCATGTTGCTGAGGGCGACCTGGTCCTTGGGCACTTCGAGCTCGACATCGAAGGTAGCCTTCAGGTTGGGCTCGTCGAAGCAGGGGAAGGCGCGGCGGGCGTCGCAGGCCTCGAACTGGGTGCTGAACATGTAGTGGAACTCGTCGTCCTTTGCGACGGAAGCGGGGACGTCGCCCTTGGGCTTGTACTTGGAGCGGTAGAAGCCAGCCATGATATTGTTGACGAAGCCCTCGAACTTGATCTCCAGCTGAGCCTCGCCAGAGTAGCTGATCTTCTCGCCAAAGTCGAGTGTGACCTGTTGCCTCTTCTCATCATATGAGATGTCCTTTGCCGACAGTGTCTTGTCGCCAGCCTTCAGCTCGGCGGTTTGGAGCTTGAGCTGGTGTGCGTTCAGGACGAGGGTGCTGAAGCCATCGTCCTTTGTGATCTTGGTGGTAATGTTGACGGTGCCCTTGTAAGCAAACTTGCCGCCGAATTCGAGGTCGTGGAGGGAGAGGGCGTAGTGCGAGGGTTTGGCCCTGGGTTGTTAGCTTGGCCACGGTACTAGGGATGTATCAACTAACCATGCGGGGAGGACATCGCGATCTGAAGCCATGTTGACGAAACTGCTGGTGACTTCGCTCTGGCAGAACCTCTTTTGTGCTGCAAACGTGTTTGTGTTTGCTACGGCAAGCCTCGGTCTTAGGCGTAGTTGGGTACGTGGGGCAGAATCAAGCTCTCTAGCTGCAGAAGAGAAGCTTCTAGAGCGGCTAAGGTGGATCGAGGTGAGTGAATGCGATATGGGAGAATACAGACGCGTCGAAGGATTAGCTCTACACCTCAATTGTCGAGAGCAGAGTCTCGCAGAGGCAGATAGAGTAGCCAGGATGAAGGTCCGCGGGGTAGATAACCTCGAGCGAAAGAGGAAAGAGGGGTGTCAATGTTTCAATTGGACTGGCATGAGATGATGCGTGTAGGCTTAGAGGGGAAGGTGCGCGTGCGGCACGCCGAAGCGCCCCACCTAGGCTGAATCCCTGCGTTCGGCTTTAGCGCGGGGTCTTGGGTGCATTTATCTAGATCCAGATGGGAGGATGCTGGAACGGCATTTCATCTTGCTGTTCTTTTATGTATGCGTTGTGATGATTGAAGCGCGTTGTCCCCCGAGGTCTGCAGTGCCCTCCTCTCTCCATCTGCTCGAAGCATGTGTATCACGCACAAGCTGATGAATATCAATCCTGAAAGTGGTATGCCATTGACGCCTGCAAATGCTTCAGTATACGCCCAGCCATGCGATAGTATCCTTTCCGCCACGCCTACCAGCCACAAACGCCTCGCATACCTCTACATTGCAGACCCGCACCGCCATCTCCCCAATCCACCACCCCCATTCAAACCCTAATCAAAACATCCAAACATTGTATCCTCCACTCCTTCTTCCCCAACAACCCCTTAACCCACTCATAACTCTGCCCTCCAGCTTCACTCCCCTGCCCTAGTCCAATCCTCCCCCTAACCCCCTCAACCGCGCCCCTCACCACCGCCTTGGCCGTATGATTCGCCGCCTGCGCCAACACACCCGCCGTCTCCGCAACCGTGCCATTCAGCGCCAGCTCCGCGCTATCGGACAGCGGCGCATCGAACCACGGGGTGTGGAAGTCGAAGAGGGCGACGACGAGGATGAAGAGGAGGAGCGAGCAGTACACGCATGGTCGGTTTAGGAAGTAGGTTGCTGAGATGAAGAGGACGAGGTAGACGGGTGAGGCGTGCGTTCGTAATCTGCGGCGGGAGGTGTTAGGGAGGGAGTGCGCGTGCGGTGGGAGGGAGATGGGTTGGGTGGGTGCTTACAGGAAGAATAGGACGGGGATCCAGCTGCGGAGGCAGAACATGGCGGTTTGGTGGGTTGTGGGTGTGACGGTGGTTGTGTGTAGGTAGGGAGCCTCGCGTGCGCACGCTGCAGCCCTAATGGCCCTGACGTATTCGTCGGTCGGTCGTGTGAGGCGCGCACTTTACGGCGATAACTGAGGCGAATGCGATAATCGACGACGGGCGGACGTGGATGCGCTGACTAATGCGATAAGTCGGCGAGGCGAATGGGCAACGTGGAAACCGCGAGCGGACGAAGAAATAGCAAATGGGTTTATTAGGATAACAAAGTATCAAAGGTAAGAGGGCTGACGGCTGCGAGATGCATGGATGGTGCGGAGTCCTGGCCGCCGAATTAGCGTCCGCTGATTGGCAGTGCGCCTCCAGGTAAGCATTCGGCTCCCCTTGATGCCTCGAGGCTGCAGTCGGTGGCGCACATGCATGCACTGCTTTTCTCCTGTCTCAGCCTTATCGCGCGCATATTCAGTACAATCCTCTGACCATCTCACGTCTATTCATTTCAAGGTATCTTCCTACATGCCCATTCACCCGTCGTGTGATGTCGTCCAACTCGTCCAACGCCCAACCAGCCAACTATCAGAGGCTACCCTACCTCCTTCCATAAAAATGCCACAAAACGCCCACCTAACACAAATATGCCCAGATACGAAGCAGAGTAGGACCGAACTCGGCCGCCAACAGCAGAAGGGAGCAGCGTCCATGCGCGCGCGGTCTATACGGGCAGGTTGAACTTCTTGCCTTGGATGACCCTGAATATAAATTAGCATGTTGATGCGCCTTCAATGGCGGTTGAAGACGTACTTGGTGTAGTAAATGTAGAAGAAATCAGAGTACAGGATCGTCTGGATGATGCCGGCAATCACCGCGATCGGGTCGTAGAACTTGGGCACCTCGAAGAAGTAGCGGTAGATCCAGTTGGGAATGTACAGCGCCCGGTACGCACCCAGCGCGAACAGGTAGTGTGTCGTGATCGTTTCCGCCTCGCCGGTTCTCTGCAGCATGAAGAGCTGGGGCAGAATGGCGACTGATTCCAGCCAGATGGAGAAAGCCCAGAGAATCTACTTCAGTCAGCACCTTCCTCTTCCGTTGCAATTCCTGCTGCTACCCACCTCAGAGAATGTGTATTTGTACGGAAACAGTATCGCCAGCACCGCGCTCGCTCCCAGCAGATATTGCACCTTGAACGTGTCGAGATTCGGGTCGTGCGTCGGCTTGTAGTCATTGAGCATGAGGTAGACGGTGTAGGCGGATGTGCTGATGAAGATGATTTTGAAAATGGTATTGTAGAGCGACTTGGGTTCGTAGAAGGTCCACAGCAGATCGACGTAACGCGTGAGATAGACCATCAGATAGAGGAATTGTGACTTGAACGAGATGCCGGACGCGCTCTATGCCGTGTCAGTATATGCGGCGCATTACGTGTGCAATTCCGATAGACGTACGCTCGACACCTTCATCTTATGCAGCAGAATCAGGATGGATAGCAGGTGGGATAAATCCCCTAGACGTGTTAGCCCATCATACTCGAAGCATCATTTGGTGTCGCGAGGCTTACCCAGCAGTCGGAAGAGATTCATCATGGCGGTGCGTGGGTCGCTGGTCGCGGCGAAAAGAGCGGCAGAGGTTTGGCGACGTGAGGCGTGGTGGGAGGTGGGTGTTGAGTGCCTGACATAAAAGACACGTTCCGCCAGCTGCTTCACGTAGGGATGGAGCTGTGGAGCCTTGCACGCCAAGACATACCCCTGCCGCCAACGTCATCCCGATCGCCGCTACTTCCCGCAGCAGTTCGCACCACTGTCGCCATACACTCACCACTTTCACCAGCAGGAAGACATGGCTTATCTTCTTGGGTGGAAGGATATCCTCAGGCCGATCCGCGATGGTTACCGACATCTGTTTCCCACCCCGGACACTGGGCCTACGCCGGAAGAGAGACGCCATCAGCGCGCATTAGATCGACGGAAGGGCTTCGCCTACTTCGATACCTTTGATCAATTGGAATCGTGGACCGAGGCTGACTCTGACCCTCTGCAAAGAGCCAATACGCCGTTGTTACGAGCGACTGGTGGAGTTCCAACCGACGACCGCAAAACTGGTGTTCTATTGATCCATGACTATTCTGGCAACTACCATGACTACGAAAGCGTGCAGGCCGTCGGTGTAGACAAGGAACTCTACTCGTGTGAATATCTCCAGTTTGTTGATACTTTTGTCTACTTCTCTCATAAGCTGGTCTGCGTGCCTCCACCAACATGGACGAATACGCTACACAGAAACGGTGTGGAAGCGCTGGGCACCTTCTTGATTGAACCGCAAACTGAAGGCTCGGAACGGTTGTTGAATCATACGACGGAAGAATCTGGGAATTTGAACTTCCCCATGGCGAAGAAGCTGGCCTCCATTGCAACACACTTCGGCTTTGACGGCTGGCTCATAAACATCGAGAAGCCGTTCCCAAGCGACGTGTGGGATCCAGAGGTCCTTGAAGCGTTTCTACGCCAGCTTAAGGCTGAGCTAGGGGTCGATAAACGGCTCATATGGTAATAACCTAACCTCCACTACCACCATGACTGACACATGACTCCACATTAGGTACGATGCGCTCACCACTTCCAACAAGATATCCTACCAGAACGCGCTGACCAGCTCCAACCTCAAATTTGCTGACGCATGCGAAAACTTACTCACCAATTATTGCTGGACGGATATTCATGTTTCTGAATCAATGAAGCTCGCACAGTACGCTGGCTTTCATGGCCCTTTCGCCAAAGGCAAGAAGAAGAGTATCTACTTTGGCGTGGACGTCTGGGCACAGAACAAGTCTAGTTTTACCCACCCTCGCGTCACATATCCTGAATATGGGGGCGGTGGTACAAACACTGGAGTCGCATTGGCCAGACTCTCGGATACGGGTCAATCAGTTGGCATCTTTGCACCAGCATGGTCGTTCGAGCATTTTCCAGGCCATGAGCGGGACGTTGAACGCACCGTCTGGGAAGGCACTCCGCTACCAGAGGGCATTGAGTGCACCTGCGGAGACTGCACATCGCGTCACCCACCAAACAAAGAGCGTCCAATCCTACACACAGCCAAAGAGCGCGTGGCAGGCTCAGAACATTTCTTCTACACAGACTTCACCCGCGCATTCTCTCCACATGATGACTACGCAAACTACATGTTCAACAACTGCAACACACACTCACAACTAGGCTCACAATCCGTCCTTCCACGTCCAGCCAGCCTCGTCCCCGAAGGCGAAGACGTCACACTCTCGCACCATATAGAATACTCTCCCAACCAGAACACCCTCGTCATCTCCTTCACCCAAAACCTGCTACCCGGAGACTTTGACGTACAAGTCTTCCTTCCCCTCTACAAACTCGACATGCCAGCCGATGGATCCCTACAGCTATCAATGGTACTAGACAGCTACGAGGATCCCAGACCACCAGAAATGGAGGACATGACGATTTTTTTGTACTTCAAATCGGGTAGAACGACGCATTATCACACATTGCATCTATCGCGGAAGCCGATCGTGTTGCTAGATGATGTACCTGGAGCGAGGATAGAAGAGCTGGGTATACAGGTTAAGGGTCCGCTGAGGGGGACTTTACGTGGGCCTGTGCGGTTAATTGGTTTCAAGGAGATTTGTATCTCGCCGATAGCTGATTTGCCGAAGAATTCTTCTCTTAGGATCAAGGATGTACGGGTTGAAAGACGTGGCGAAGGGGAGGGTAGGCATGTTAGACTGTGCTGGAACTACGAGGATGCAGCGAAGTCCGAATCTCAAACTGCGGGTATGCCATGGAGCGATGTTACGGGTCCGTTTTCACACTTCACGATTCGCTTACCGGGGCTACTATTTGCCAGAGCGTATGCGTTGGAGCATATTCTGGGCGATAAATTTGTGGAACGGTATGCTGGCCAAGAGATCGAGATTGAGGTCACAGGTATTGGCTTCGATGGACGGACACTCGCGGAGACGAAGGTCACGTTGCAGCTGTAACATGGTTGAATCCACTTCCTTCCACAGTACTGCGGTGACGCAGAGCAGACGGGCCACTCACGACTTCCGAAATCCACATCGCATCTACCCATATTCGCGAACCTGGCTTAGAAGCTCTGTATCAGCGTGGAGGTGGAGGTAGCGTACTATAGGTATATAAACCTCCGTTCGCTATCTTTCCCCATGAAGTCCGACTTTTCCACCATGCAAACTCCACAGCAAGATTCACCATCCCCTTCCAATTCGAGAATGGAAGCCCCTCAAGAACGCCCCAGTCCGTTGACGGTGAAGATAAACGCCCTTAAGTCCGAGTGCGGATTTTACCTCAACAGCTGCCCGGGGAGATCGAACCTAGCCCCGAATACAGGGATCAACGGTTGCATAACAGAGTTTCTTGAAGGAAAGTTTGACGACAATAACGAGGCCCTGGACATAATCACCAAAATGGTGTCGTATCGCAACACCTTGACGAGATCAGCAACAGCACTATTGGCCCTCGCGGGCATATTCAAGCCCAACGGACTAGACTGCGCAGACTTCGACTTTGAAACATTCCAAGAATCGCAGGAGTACAAGAATAAGAGGGGCAAATACGAACATGCCTTCAGGCAGGTCGCTCGATTCGACTTGATCTTTTTTCCTGCTCCGGATGACGAGGAGGGGAGGCCGTGGGCTAAGCCTGTTAAGTATGTCGCTGCGGCTTTGACGCTGGATGAGAATACGGACTCAAGCGAAGAGATTGCGGATGCGGTGCAACGGATTAGAATGTGTATGTATATGAGCTCCGTTATTGTAGAATACTGCTAATGGTGATGTGCAGGCTATGAGAAGATGCTCGTCGACAAGGCCAAAAAAGAAGTCGATAACGCTCCTGAGGTGAGCTAGACGCGCAAAAGCATCCCGACACCAAAACGCGTGAACGCGTCTGGAAACTTTGGTGGTTGGGCGAGAACGAGACTAGTGTGTCGACTACGTCATCGATACCTTCGTACCTTCCACCCCGGCCTACAACCTTACGTGTATTCGCTTCTCTCATTTCAGCCAGGATAACGCGCGTGTATAATGAGAGCTCTTGTTTATAGATTAGCGCAATTACCAAATTCCCCTTTACAAAGTCTAGATTCGCCACGATCATCGCCACTATTCGCCCGGTTCATCCAAGCCCGGCAATTCCACGCGTCGACGATGATGTCGAGCCCAGCAAAACGTAAAGCCGAGAAAGATATATCGCCACCAAAACCGAAGAAGACAAAGACGACAACAAAGACGAAGACAGAGATTCCTGCATATCATCTCACCCCATCAAGACAGGACGAGTCTGGAGAGAACGTCTGGCCGGCAAGGAAACAGCAGATTGAACGTGCGCGAGAGATCATCCGAGAATGGTAAACCACCAAGCACTCGATAGAAAATGTGTAGACACTAACATCACGCAGTGCTGAAGCGCAAAAACCAATCGTCATCCTACCAGATAAGGATGCAGACGGGCTTTCTTCTGGCGCCATACTGCATCATACCCTCACCGCACTGGGTTTATCACCTGATCTCATATCCGTTCACTTTCCACCAAAAGGCTCTAATGTACACGATGAAACCACAAAGCAGGCCCTGACGGCTCTCTCACCATCCTACATCTTCATTCTAGATCAAGGCAGCCGGAAGACACCGCCTGTCATCGACTCACCCCACACATGCCTGGTAATGGACCATCACTTTGCAGATGAAGGCGGCTTCCCAGAAGGCAGCGATTACGTGACAGCTCATGACTGCCCACCCGTGGCAACCAGCGCCTTGCTAACATACACAATCTGCCTCCCACTTCACCCAGACCTACACGACAAGATATCCTGGTTAGCAGCCCTAGGAACGCACGGCGACCTCGGAAGCAGCATAAAATGGGAGCCCCCCTTCCCAGACATGGTCGCAACATTCAAGCAACATCCCAAAAAGTCCATCAACGATGCCGTGGCTTTGGCCAACGCACCACGCAGATCAGCAGCCTATAACGTGCGCGACGCCTGGGACGCCGTCATCTCCGCCAGCAGTCCCGTCGACATCTCAAAAGCCGAAAAGCTAAAAGATGCGAGCATGGAAGTACGACGAGAAACCGAACGCTGCACCCACACCGCCCCGAAGTTCTCTGCCGACGCCACAATCGCCGTTCTGACTATATCGAGCGCCGCGCAAATTCATCCTGTTATTGCTACACGCTGGTCTGGCACCCTCAAATCGAATAAACTCGAAATCGTCATGTGCGCAAATGAAGGCTACCTGCCCGACAAAGTTAATTTCTCGTGTCGCGTTGCCAAGTGTGCGAGAGCGCGCGAGGGAGAGGAGAAGGTCGATATTATTAAGAAGTTGGAGGGTATTGTGGCAGGGGATGGGGAGTTGAGGAAGAGGCTTGGGGAGAGCTTTGCGAGGGGGCATAAAGAGGCTAGTGGGGGGATCGTGGGGAAGGGCGAGTGGGAGGAGTTTAAGAAGTTGATGGGGGTTGGGGAGGCGAAGAAGAAGGAGGGAGGTGGGAGTGGGAAGAAGGAGGAGAAGCTGGTGCAGAAGAATACGCTGGCGAATTATTTTGGGAAGAAGGAGAAGAGTGGGAAGGTGGAAGGGGCTTAGACTTTGGACGACGGTGGTACATTGGACGTCTTCTTCCTTCCTTCGAGAAGACCCAGCAGATCGGCATTTCGATAACGCACGGAAGAGGCGTGGAAGTAAACAAGGTAAACTGTGCATCGCACGTTGTGGGGAGAACACTGGCGTCGATTTCGATCCGGTTGCGACGCCAAACGCTTCCTCCGTTGGCATTCTCAAACACTGTTGATCGTGCCATCACGGAAGAGGCGTGACAAAACCCAGATGGAGATAGTCTCGCATGCACTACGTTCCGCCAAGACCAAGATTAAACACCATCCAATCTATCGAAGATTCGCAATGGAACGTAATTGGAACGGAGACTTCGATGGCGCTCAGGCGCGTGTCTCTTCGCCGTTGGCCTTGATTACTCGTGTCTTTGAACAAATGCAAGGCGAAAAGAAAGGAAACAACTGCGGGCATCGACAAATACAGACCAATACTTGGCATTCTAGCATTTTCAGATCGTTTCGAATTGAATGATGACTAGCCTCTTGAGCGGCTCTAGGGGTGGGTGGAGGAGGCGGAGGTGACAGACATCTCTCGAGGTAAGTGTACTGTAGCAGGTGGGCAGGTGACAGACATCTCACGCAGTTCAACATCCTCTTCGCACACCAGTTTCCGCGATCGGCCTTTGCCGTTCATTTCTTTGAACAGTTGCAAGGCGAAAAGGAAGAAAACACCAGTGGGTATCGACGGACTCAAACCAATGGTAGACGTTGTAGCATTTCAGATTGTTTCGGATTAAATGTCGGCTAGCCTGCTGAGCGGCTCCAGGCCCAAATTGCCGAATGATCGGCATCCTCGAACAGGAACATGAAAGGATCATCATAACGACCTCTCGACATGCAGCAGACGCGCAAATACCTCAGGTACAACGGATGAACAGCTGCATTTCAGAGCCCAAAGACACCACACCTTGAGCAGACCGGATTCTCACGCTTACGCGACGATCTCGCACCGCCCCAACGCAGCCGTCCCACTGACCACAATGACGCATATAATATACGACCTCCATATAGCCAAGCATCACCGTTGCAGTCCGAAACCCAAAACCCGCGCCCATTGCGCCATGTGACCTCGGTACCAAACCACCAATGCCGTGCCCAATGAGGTAAAAGGCTGAAACCTGGGGACATGCAAGTTCAAAATCTCTCCATTTATACTTGGCCTCCGCTTTTCCTCTTCCCGGCGAATGAGCGCGTGTCGTGCAAATTGAGTGCTGACGACCTGACGGGGCACGCGCTACCCGACAGGTGCCAAGAAAGCTTGATGGTAGCAACATTAATCTATCTAAGTGATCGGGGCGAGAACGATGAAGATAGTGGTTGAAGACCACGACTGGGTGCGGAGATGACGAGGGAGGAGTAGGTACAGCGGCCCGGGTGGAGTCATGTCGTCGCTCTTAGATTGCCGTGGTAAACAGTCCCTAAGGCGCATGACACGGAGGATTAGAAGGGAATAAATACTGGGAGTGCCGGCTGGAGTTTGGTCGAGAAAGCGTCGATACAGCGCTTCATACCCTTCACTCATCTCGCATCTTACCCCATCGACATCCAGCATGAAGTACGCCACCGTTCTCCTCGCCACCGCGGCGACCGTCTCCGCCCACTCCACCTGGCAAGAACTCTGGGTCGGCAGTGAAGACAAGGCTGGCACTTGTGTGCGCACTGTCAAAGACAACAGCCCCATCACCAGTCTGACCTCCCCCGACATGTTCTGCGGACGCGGCCCAGCTTCTACATCAGGCGTCTGCGAAGTCGCTGGTACGTCCCCTATTTCCACGTAAGACATATCGTACAGTATTAAACATACTAACAAACCCCCCCAGCCGGCAGTTCCCTAACCGTCGAAATGCACGCCCAACCCAACGCCCGCTCCTGCTCCCAACCCGCCATCGGCGGCAACCACTACGGCCCCGTCTTCGTCTACATGGCCAAAGTCGCCGACGCCAAAACCGCAACCTCTGGCTCCTTCTTCAAAGTCGCCGAAGACGGGTACACAGGCACAACCGCGTCCTGGGGCACCGAGATCCTCAACGCAAACTGCGGAAAGCGCGCTTTTACCGTGCCCAAGAACATTGCTTCTGGCGACTATCTTGTCAGGGCTGAGGCGATTGCGCTGCATGCTGGTGCGAATAACCCGCAGCCGTATGTTAGTTGCTTCCAGGTTAAGGTTACCGGGGGTGGCAGTGCGACGCCGAGTGGGGTTAGCTTTCCTGGGGGGTATAAGACTAGTGATCCGGTTTTTACGAAGGCGATTTATGATTCTAGTTTCAAGTATGTTAGTCCTGGGCCGGCTGTTTACTCTGGTTGAGAAGGCCGTATGAGATCTGGATGGGGGAAGGTCGGGCATTGTGGTGTGGAAGGCGGTGTAGAGAGGAAGCTTTCTTGTAAATAGTTGACATGGATTTGTGTATTAGAATGGGTTGATACCATACCATCATAGTCTTTTGAGTGCCCACTGCACTACCTCAGCCACCAAACTCCCCATCTCTAACCTTCTCATCATACCCCAGCACCGCATCAAGCAGAACCTGCGCTCCCAACGCGCAATGCTCGGGACTCGTATACTCTTCCGGATTATGACTGATCCCCCCTTTGCTCGGCACAAAGATCATACTCGTCGGACACACTCTGCTCGTCCACGCACTATCATGTCCAGCTCTACTCTTCATCTGCATAACCTGACTTTCACCCACTAACCCCACCGCCGCCGTCCTTACAACCTCGATACAATCCGGATGGAACTTCGATTCAGGTAATCCCCACGTCCGCTCCACGGAATACGTAGTCGCGTTGTCTTCTTCCTTGATGACCTGATCGAATGCGCGTAAGATGGATTCGGAAAGCTGGTCGACGAGGTCATCAGTATCGCATCTAACATCCACAACAAATCCTACGCCAGCGGGTATAGTGGCTTGTGAACTGGTATCACTGCTGATAACACCCACGGTAGCTACACCCAGACCAGTCTGCACAGCCGTATCCCTTACGGTAGTGATGAGCCGTGCAGCTGTGACTAAAGCATCTGCTCTTCCTTCCATGGGCGTTGTGCCTGAATGGCCTTCTCGTCCTGTAACGCGAATGGCGAACCATTTCATTCCTTGAACACTCGTAACAACACCGACTTCCTTTCCCTCACGCTCGAGAATTGGACCTTGCTCGATGTGTAGTTCGAAGTGCGCGGACAGTTTGTTCTCGCGGTAATTGCATGGCGTTGGACCAAGGTATCCTGTTTCTTGTAAAGCAGTTGCCATGGATATTTTGTCGGTATCGCGGAGAGCGTGGCATGCAGATAGATCTGTGGTACTGTGCGTGCTCCAGACACCAGATGCCATCATTGCGCCGGGAAACCGCGCGCCTTCTTCGTTGGTCCAGTTTATCAGGGCGATGGGGTGGTGGGTTTGGATGTTATTTTCGTGCAGGGTACGGAGGACTTCTAGGGCGGATTGGACGCCTAAGATGCCGTCGTATCTACAAACACATGAGTCCTTTGATCCCCTCGTGGAAATTGAGATGGTGTAGCGCGTACCTCCCGCCTGCTGGTTGCGTGTCCATGTGACTACCCATGCCAATTGGCGCTTTATCGGTAGCTGTACCAGGGCGTATAGCGAAGATGTTTCCCATTTGATCAATTTTGATGTCGCATCCCAGACTCTTGCATTCGCTGACTAGCCAGTCTCGAGCTGCTTTGTCGGAGGGGGTTAAGGTTAGGCGGCACATGCCTGTTGATGGCGCTGGGAGAGCGCCGTAGGAGGTGCATGTTTCCTGTAGTGTGCTGTTTAGCCTCTCGCCGTTTATCTTAAGAGGGTCGGAAGGCATGATGATCCAGGTGTAAGTTGGTAAGTCGAAGACTAATCTAGAGGACTACCTAGGTACGCATGAGATGAAAGCGTCAAAGTTGCGGTAGTCACATCCGACGCGTCGGCGTGCGAAAAACGCGTCTTCATCATCTATGACCAATGTCTATGACTGTTCGGGATATCTGCATCTCTCTCGAGCGCGTTTATACCGCGAATAGGCGTCATGGTTGATAAGAAGGATGATGAGAGGAAGGTGGGGCAGCGCGAAAGAGGGGTCGAGATACGCACCTCACAAACCTGGACTAGCCTTCTTTCCACTACCACGATAACCGCTGAGATGTATCCTCCCGTGATCATGTATGACTGGAAAGTATGTTTTATGTTGCTGCTGTTTAGCTCGGAACAAGGTTGAGAAAAGTTGCAATGGAGTACGATCTAATCATCATCAATGGGGTGGTAGTGTCCGAAAATGAAGTTCAAGAGTGGGATGTCGCTATCAAAGACGAGAAGATCGCAAAAGTAGTTCCAAGAGGAGGTCTAAAAGATGCACAGGCGACAAGGACGATAGATGCTGAAGGCGGCTATGTGATGCCGGGAGGAGTGGACGCTCACGTTCATCTCCAAGAACCTCCGTTGTTTGGAAACGGCTCAACGGCAGACAATTACGAGACTGGCAGTCGATCTGCAGTATGCGGTGGTACCACTACCATGGTGACCTTTGCGCCGCAGAAGAAGACGGAAGACACCCTCCTCGACACCCTAGCAGCCACCCATGAACGAGCGAAGGACAATTGCTATATCGACTACTCTTTCCATATAATCGTTGGCAACCCTTCAGAAAGGGCGCTCTCAGAGTTCAAGACTCTGCGAGAGGAAGGCATATCCTCACTCAAGATTTACATGACCTACGAGGCCCTTCAACTGCACGATGGTCAGATCCTAGACATCCTCCTCGAGGCCAGGAAACAAGGCATAACGACCATGATCCACGCCGAAAACGGACAAGTAATCGACTGGATGACCGCGCAACTCGAGAAGAAGAAGCTGTTCGCGCCGAAATACCACGGCTCATCCCATCCGCCCATGGCAGAGACCGAAGCCACCTACCGTGCCATCAGCTTATCAGAGTTCATGGATACTCCCATCCTCATCGTTCACGTATCCACTCCCGCAGCAGCCGCACACATCAAAGCAGCGCAAGACCGCGGTCTACCCATCTACGCCGAAACCTGCCCGCAATACCTCTTCCTCACAAAGCTAGATCTCGACCAACCCGGTTTCGAAGGCGCGAAATGTGTGTGTTCGCCTCCACCCCGCGAAAGCGAAGCAGACTGCGACGTCATCTGGGAGGGTCTCGCAAACGGCACCTTCACAATCCTCTCTTCAGACCATTGTCCCTTCCGCTATGACGACCCTGAGATGGGCAAGAAGTCCAGCATCAGCGCAGAATACCCTCTAGGCCACTTCAAATACATCCCCAACGGCTGCCCTGGTATCGAAACACGCCTCTCCCTCACACTCAGCGCGAACCGCCTCAAGCTCACCAAATTCGTGGAGGTCACATCTGCGAATCCCGCGAAGCTATACGGTCTGTACCCGAAGAAAGGCGCGTTGATAGAGGGCGAGTCGGATGCTGATATCAATATCTGGTACCCGGATGGCAAGATGGAGGAGTTTGAGCTGACGAACAGTATGTTGCATCATGATGTTGACTATACGCCTTTTGAGGGGAGGAAGTTGAAGCAGTGGCCGAGGTGGACGTTGCTGAGGGGGAAGGTGGTCTGGGATAGGGACAATGGGGGGTTGTTGGGGGAGAAGGGGTATGGGAGGTTTACGAAGAGGGATACGAGTAGTCTTGCGAAGCCGATAAGGGAGGGGGAGTGGGTGTTGCCGCTGTAGGTGTGGGTTGTGGTGATGCGCGTGCGCTGTGGAATCGGACTTGTAGATTGATCATCGACGCGTTGGACGTGTTTGATGTTATCGTGACACGAGATGTCGCTTGCAACGCGTATATTCGTTTTGGTATCCCCGAACTTATTTGGGGATGTAGCCTTGAGCGCGCGGCTCGGCTTGCAGATTGATGTTTGCCGCGGCTTGATCCTTATCTTATCAGCCCCCTGTGAACCTCGCGTCCCACCCCATTCTTGCTTCCACCTTCCTTTGCGACAGCACCTACATCGCGCGTATCTCCATCATGTTACATCAAGCATGCATGACTAACGGCACGCGGTCCTGTTATCAGGGATGCGGCTCCTGCTTGCCGTTCCCGATGCAGCTATCAGGCCCATGAGGCTTATAGCTTGCCAACACTGGCACATGAGCTTGAGGGCGCTTATCATGCGCTCAAGCTGAACATCTCCATTCCATAGGGAAGATGACGACCTCGGATTTACCGGTAGAGAATGTAGATGTACTTGTGGTGGGTGGAGGACCAGTAGGTACACAACCCCGTCTCCATTACAAACATCATGATACTGACACTCATGCCCAGGCCTCGTAACCGCCTACCAACTCGCACGCAACCTCCCTCACTCTACGCATCGCGTCAAGATCATAGAACAACATCCCAAGTCGTCCCAAGACAACTATGGACGCGCCATAACCCTCTTCCCAAGAACGACTGAGATGCTCGATCAGCTTTCTCTGGCTGATTCCCTTGCTCAGCAGTGTTTTGCTTGTCGCGAAACCGTGAACTACGACAAGCATGGCAACGAGGTCGAAGGAAGAGGTTGGGCGTTCATGGAGAATATGAAGGATACCAAGTGGGACTTCGCGTTGGTGCTACGACAGAAGTACCAGGAAGAGGTGTTTAGGAAAGCACTGGCTAAGGAGGGGGTACAACTCGATGCGCCGTGTACCCTGGTGGGCATCGAAATTATAGACGGGGTTGAGATGGGTGGATATCGCATACTGGCTACAATTGAACATGGCGAGACCAAGGTGAAGAGCGTAGTCAGATGCCGGTATCTGGTTGGCGCAGACGGTGGGCGGTCTTTCGTACGCCGAGCGATGAAGATCCCCTTCGATGGCTCCTCCAGCGAAGACAAGTGGGTACGCGTCGACGGCGTCATCGAAACCGACCTTCCCAAGCCACGAACGTACTGCGCCATCGAATCGCCGACACACGGAAACGTCCTCTGGGCCGCCCTAGATCGAGGCGCAACGCGCATCGGCTTCGCATTCACGGCAGAGCGTCAGAGAGCATACAAGGTGTTTGACGAGAAAGCTGCGGTTAAGGAAGCCATCGCATCCGTCAAGCCCTTCAACCTCACGTTCAAGCAGGTGGATTGGTGGACCATCTACGTCGTTGGGCAGCGTATCGCGCGCTCGTTCTTCGTGAATGACTGCATCTTCCTTGCGGGCGACGCATGCCACACACATAGTTCGGGTGCAGCACAGGGCATGAATACCGGCATGCATGATGCCGTCAACCTCGGCTGGAAGCTTTCCCTCGTGCTCCAAGGCCTCGCCAAACCCGATCTGCTACACTCGTACGAAGCAGAGCGACTCCCCAACGTCCAGAGATTGATCAACTACGACAAAGATATCTCGCGCCTCATGACGATGCAGTTACCCGAGGGCTGGACAGGCGATCCACACGCCGACCCGAACGAGATACTAGGCGTAGTCATGGCCGAAGCAGCGACGTTCAGTAGCGGACTGGGCATATACTACGAGCCAGATTCCTACCTCAACCTCACGCAGAGTTCGGGTGTATCGTCTGTACAGCCTGGTCAGCGCGCACCGGATGTTACGCTTCAGAAACCGGCAACTTTCGAAGCTACGCGACTACAGATCGAGACGCCGAATACGGCGACGTTTTATATTGCGCTGTTTGCTGGGGAGGTGGCGCGCACGAAGCTCGCTTTGGCGTCATTCACCGCAGCGATGACTGCACTGCATTGGCTTAGTCATGATGTCCCAGTATCATGTCTTTCCATCATCGCAGGTCCGGGTGGACCATCGGCGTATGAGACGTTAGGTGGAATGCCGTTCGGTCGTGTGTTCTATGATGCGGACTGTAGTGCGCATATGCGCTATGGTGTTGCGACTGAGAAGGGAGCTTTGGTGGTGTTGAGACCTGATGGGTGGGTTGGCACGGTTGTTGAGCTGGATGGGAATGCGGGGTCGAAGCTGGAGAGGTACTTTGCTCGGTTTCTGTATGCTGCAGTAGGGGGTCACAAGGCTGAGGCTAAGCTCTAAAGATGTGACGGCATCACCAAGCTCTGCCAATGGACTCATGCGCGTCGTGTCGCTAGTTTGACAAGTTCAGCTGAGTGCTTTCCACAACAGGGTTCTCTAGCTCGCCATGCTTCCGTGGAAAGCTAATTGCGCGGGCGATTGCACAGGGCTGAGGTTTCCACCTGCCCTGCGACGTACACGATCATACGATTGGGATGGGGTTCTTGATTATTAGGCGACAAGGCTGGCCCCTATTTATCGCACGGTCATCTTGTGGGGGCTGCTGACCTGCATGATGTTCTCAGAATCGCTCGTAGCCAACAGTTTAGCGCCTGGCGCGTTTCTCGATGACAGTGCATGGTCTAAAATCCTGCGGGACGAAGTTGTTGTCATCCAGATCTTGGAGGCGCGCACGGATATGGTGCTCTGGGCAGCTGAACTGGAGTGTTATATGCTCTCGAGTGGTCCAGGCTTGTGCCATCATTTACTCTATCCTTCTCGTCACAGCCTTCTCTTGGTGTATTGTGTGACTATTATGGATGCGGATATCGACGAGAGAATTTTGTTAGACGTTGACGTCAAAGATTTCGGGATTCGCAGGAGCGTGTTTACTCTGAGCCTGCAGGATCTACGCTTTGTACAGGAAAAGTCTGAAAGTACCAGGTTTAAGAGCTTGTCCAACCTTGAAGATTTCCTGAATGTATTGGGACTCGGTACAGAGTTCAGCAAAAAAACGTCAGCACCTTCAACCCAGGCTGTATCATGCACGAGCATCACCGTTTTCGAGTTGCCGCTCCCGAAACGCATAACAATATCTGAAAGGCCAAAATTATCGAGATTCCTCACACAAAACATTAACAGCCGTATTCGACCTTTGTTATCCGGGGCGAACATGACCTCAACCACTGGGGGCCTCTTTTTCAAAGACCAATTTGGCATACTTTTCGAGACACCTGACGAATCTGTCCCATACATGCAATTCTGGCTTAAGAAGGTTGATACAGAAGGCGTCCAAGGAGACTGGATGGCAGTACTCGCCTATGACAAGGAGTGCGAGTTGGGAGAGTATAGCCTTGACATTTTCAAAATGCACATCGGATCGTACACACATCTCGATTATGACGACCCAAACGCAGAGAAAGCACCTATCCAGGCTTTCACTGAATTCCTTCGCATGTACGTAAGCTTGTACGTAAAAAGAGTTGAGAAAGAGGCAAAGGGATTCATGGAAGCGATCAATGAGGTGGAAGATTCCCTAAATTCGAATCAACGTCATAGCAGCTTGCTTCGGTCACTCAATACCATCAGTCGCAGGATTAGGACAGCAAGCCTAGAAAGTAGGATTGTATTTGGCATAGACGCTGCGAACTGGGTAGATGATATCTCAGGGCCGCGAATTTACAGGAAACTGCTGTCGGTATTGCCATCACTGGCTCGAGACATGGAGCAGTACCATCCAGATCGCTTGCGAGAAGTTACCGCGGAGGTCCACCAACACATCGAGGATGTAATTGCAGAAAGGCAGCAGGAAAGACAGGAGAAGCTTCAAGAACTAGAAGATGTTCGAAGGGAGGAAGAACGGGAACTTCTGCAACAAAACCTCGAGATTGCGAAAGCAACTCAGAGAGATAGTCGCCTAATGAGCGGCGTAGCGTGGATCACCATGGCGTTCCTCCCAGCCACCTTCGTGTCTTCATTTTTTGGCATGAACTTCTTCAACGGCATCGCCGGAAAGGTCCCGTTTGACGAAGCGAGTCGCAGTGTCTGGCTATTCTTTGCGATTGCAATACCTATCAGCGCCCTCGTTCTGTCTACATTCTATATCTGGAACGAGCAACAGAGGAAGAAAGATGGGCACATACTGGATGAAGCCAAGGCGACAAGCCATGACAACGACACAACGGCAAAATCTACGGGAAACAATTTGGAACGGTCAGCACTTCCAAGGAGATAATCGCGCTCTTAGAAGTCCACCGCCATCCCGAACCTCCACCGAGCCACCAACCCCCTCCCTGCACCTTCCTTAGCCTCACACAGTGGGGCCTGATCTACCGAGCCGGTGCGGGTCTCGCGACCCACCCCACCCTAACTTCCTACGCTGGCGCAATGTCGCGATTCAAGAGCCGCCGTAGCTGCCTTGTTTTCCTGGCTGGTGTTGTTGGTGCGGCATGTGGGCGAGGCGTGCCGGCACGCGTCAGGCCGCTGCGCTGGGGCTTGAGTCGTTGGCTGTTGTTGTGAGGTTGGCGGGCTTGGCTTTTCTGATTGCCTAGGAGTATGGTATTTGTAACTTTTCGATAGGTGGGGATGGCTGTTTGGGTGTGCAGCGGGTTTGTGGGTTGGTGAGCTGTGGTGTGGCGACCGATTGAAGATGCTTCTGTATTGGTAGAGCGCCTTTTGAGGGTTGCGCAAAGCGCGACAACATTGTACGAGGGCTATAGCATATTGGGGGTTGAATGTCGTACTTCGATGCATTAATATGTATTATTGGGTATCTGCCAAAGTTCATAGATCGTAGAAAGTCGCTTTACTACACCATCGCGCTTCAAAGCCACCTCCTCGCATCCAACGACTTCTCCTTCTTATGCTGAATCGGTGGTAAAGCCTGCAAACTCGGATGCGAGCTCCCCCGATCAACACTGTACTCGGACTGCACCATAATACCTCCCATTGGGGAGCCAACCACCGGCGCCGGCGCCGCAACATCGGCCAACGGTTGCACATCCTCATTCGACTTGAACGACCGATCCAGCGACCCTTCCGAGGAGTTTTCCGGCGAATTCCTGTCTGTGAGGACGCCTTCTTTTCCGCCCATGCCAACGCCCATCTCGTATTCGTCTAGACGGACGAAGTCGTCTTTGTCCATCTTCCTCCGGCCCAGAGTGCTCAGTTGAGAGCGATCAGTCTTTGGTAGCCAGATGCGGGACTTGAGGTCTTTGCTGCCATTATTCTTCTTGCTGCTGTTGCCTGAGTTCTCTGCGTAGTAGTATTGACTTGGTGTCTTCTCTTTGGGCCAAATTCGTTCGCGGATGGAGCGTTGTAGTTGGCGGATAGCGGGTGCGCAGGCGACGATGGCACCGACGTGTGCTTCGATGGCGGACCAGTATCCGATGGGTAGGTAGTCCCAGGTTACGTTGGTGGTTTGCGCGAACTGGATCATGTATTTGAGGCGGAGGATGCTGACGATGGTGACACTGAGGAGGTGTTAGCAGGTATACGATTGACGTGTGGGGACTGGACTTACAAGCCTCCACCGAGGAACATGCACATGATGCCGAACTTGCGCCGGCGGGTCATGGCAAGCTTGCTGAGCTCTCTCATAGGTATAACAATGACAACTAGATCAAGAAGGATGTTGACCGCGGCAGAAGCCCAGGCATCGGCGTTGAGGTTGATGCATTTTCCGTGATGCTCGCCGTCCCAGTGTTCCCACGCAATGCGTATCGGAATGCATTGCAGCGCTGTTGCTGTAACGAATGCGATGATGTACATGATGCAGATTACGATGGTAACGTGGATGACGCGTCGGAGTCCCTGGTGAGGGAAGATGCGGAGGTAGAAGAGCAAGACTGCTATCTTGGTCAATGCGATCGACGCAAGGTAGAGAAGCTCCGTATAGTAGAAGATCTATCATAGAAGATTTATTAGCGCAGGATCTTGGAACTTGCAGAACTCATCACATACCTCGAGAATCTTGGTGATGTTCTCGAAAGACACCATCCACATATCCGTACCCAACCCCAAAAGGTTCAGCAGGTACGCGCATATCGTGAGCGGGATAATGAGTATGATGGCCGCAGTCATAACCCAGTCGTCAATGCCCCAGTTTCCGCCGAACCAGGGAAGGCGTGCGATTACGCGTAGAATGTAGGCGCCCAAGGATAGTACTCCAAAGACTATTGTAGTGACTGTTCCTTGTTCCGTCTTGTTGCGAATGGGCGCATCCATCAACTCAGTAAGAAACCTCTTCGCCGCTTCACGGTCAATTAGCAGAAAGTTCAACGGGTAAATATGAGAGAGGACCTACTCAGTGCTTCCTTTGGCTTACAGCTAGCCAAGACACATTTGCTCAAGTCATCGAGAAGCTTCTCGTTGCCTTTGATGCAGTCGATGTCTGTGAGCTGGCATGTTGATGACGAGATTATTGTGAGGGTGCAATCTAACTATATGACTGAAATTAGTATGGAGTCTTCTATATCGACATAGTTTACATACCGCGCATGGAGGCAGATTCTTAACCGCAGACGCGAGCACATCGTTCCCGCTCTGACTTTGCGCGAATGCCACAGGCGCAAAGACAAGGCACAGTAGTGCGGAGAAGAACTTCATGTCGGAACCCGCATAGAACGAGGCTGTACCCCAGATTGTTTCCGACTGTACGTATCGAGACAACGCCGTACGAGAAGCCCTGCGCGAGAAAACAAAAGAGGAAGGAGAATTATGTTAAGCGACGGATTGCGGATCAAACAGGGTAAAACAAAAAGCCATATGAACCAGGATAAGAACAGGGGCTTATACACGGCAGGTACAGGTTACGCAGAGGCGGCAATGGACGTCAAAATCCTAGCCTCCCGAACATCAAAGCACCGTTAGTATGTTACAAGCACCACGTAGTGCAGCTGCCATCCTCGTCACGGAGTGTCTTCCACAAGGCGCGCCACACAAAACGTGCTCGGCCGCAATCGGCAGTCTATGAGCTAGACGGTGCCCTGACTTTAGTTCGTTGCTGTGCCGCTGCTACGGCGAGTTCCACGTGGATCTTGAGCCCAACGAGCGACAAACCCTCCGATGTTTTGCCTTTACCTTCGCTGGCTTCACACGTTGAACGTGTCGAAAACTCACATACTTTGTCTATGAGGTATGACGTTTGTAAGTGAGGAAGATTGTGCCAAGAGATGTATGACGCGCTCAAGCGAGATTATCGGGGTCGGCAGCTGTATGAGCACCCATGTTCTCACAGTACTGAATGTCGGCCTGTTAGGCATCACGAGGAGGTGAACATGATGCGAACCTGATCGGCGTTTGACGTGGCAATCATTCTGGCGTTCTGCCAATTGCCACAAGGCTTGCCTAGTGTATGTAGTTATAAGGCTTCGCTAGTGGAAAAGCCCTCGAACAGTTCCAACACCAGCAGCGTCGATCATCGGAGGTACATGAACCCGGTGAAGAACGGTATTCCACTGCTCCCAAGTAATGGCAATCGTCTTTGCGAAAACGTGGTTCGGCCCTGCATGTGAGTTTTAGAGTTTAGCTCCGCATGTAGATCCAGTCTAGCACGGTCTTTAATAAACCTCGGAAACACTAGGCTAGTCAGTCACCCATGGTCGCTGTGATAGAACCGAATGTTCTTTGGACACGGCAGATGCAAGCGCCGTGAACAGAAAGATTGGCGAGTTTTGGCGAATCCTTCGTTCTGCAGCGATTCTAGGGGAATGTGGTATATGCTCAAGTGATCTGTACTAGCTGCAGCGACTTATAGATTCGTCGTTCGGCCATGATTCACACGGTGGAGAGGATGACCGCAAGCCGTCCTGCCGGTCTGCAATGTGGGGCCTTAGAGCTCCATCGTTTCTTGTTGACCATACTTCCTATTCGACCCCCTCTTCTGGTCCACTCTTGTGAGATTCACGCGGAAAGCCGGTAGCTCTAGTGTTTCGAAATGACCGTCTTTTTGCTCATCCCAGAACACCGCTGTGTTCAAAGGTATGCCGGCATAACTAGACATTTCCCAGTCCTCCACGCAGAAGTCGTCCCAAATGGAGCCCAGCCCTTCTGCGCGCTCCTCAAAGATCAATGCACGCCATTCCTCCCCCTGCTGTTCTTCTTCGTTGCGATAGAGAAGCGTTGGGCTAAGCTGCGCATAACGAGGCGTAGTCGTCACGTCTTCCGTGATCGGTGCTTCGAAGACAACCGTCCCGTTGGAAACAAAGGTTGTAACAACAAGACCGCGGTAATCAGCTTTCAGTGTGGCTGTAGAGTTCACTTCTGGATCTGAAGCGCTGTAGGTGCCCGCATAGCGATTACGCATTTGCTTTATGGCAAGCTTTTCGGCTGTTTGCACTATCTTTACGGGAACAATGTCCATGATCTTAGACAAGATCGCGTTAGGGCCCGCGACTAGAATAGTGATCCCCAAGTCGTACTCAGGCACTGTTATGATGATGGAGGTATAGCCCGGCAACCCTCCACTCTTAGTTACAAAGCGTACAGTACGTTTCGACTGCTCAAATATGCGGTCTGTTTGGTAGATCTCCCACGGCATGCCATAGAAGGAGTTCAATCCGCGAGAAGAAGAGACGGGATGTAGCCAATTGATCGCGTGGGTGATGGCGTTGTAGTGGGTTAGGACGTAGCGGAGATATTTCGACAGGTCCCTCGACGAGCTGTAGATGCCGCCGGTAGGATTTTGGATGCCTTCGTCCACACCCCAGAATTGTGGACCAGCGGGAATGACGCCAGCAGAATCGGCAGGCTTGGAGAGAGTGCTGGTAGACATGTTCAAGGGCTTGAAGATGGCTTCATCGATGTAGGTCTCGTAGGTCTGGTTTGTCACCCGCGAGAGGACGAGACCAAGCAATTCGAACGCGACATTGGAATAAGACGATTCTTGGTTTGGCGCGAATAACGGTGCGAACTCCTTGAGCTGTCGAAACATATCTAAGCACAATCAGATTAACACTCTTCTCGCTCGCTCAATTAGTGAGATGCGAACCTTTCGCTGTGCAGGGTCTCTCATAATTTGGTGAATACTCGTCACAATTTGGCAAACCTTCCCGTGACACATCAGGAGGCAGACCCAGTGAGCTTCGATCCAACTCAGGGTAGTTGTTATTGATCAGATCACCTTGAGCCCCTATTAAGGAAATTAGCACGCGCACCTTCTTCTGTGTGGCACACTGCGAACAGATTCTGCTTCTTTCCAGAAGGCATCTTACATTCGCGGGGAAGGCCGCTCAGTTGGCTAGCCAGACTGCGCAATGTGATGTCTTTCCATGGAATGCCGCCGTTCGACTTGTCTCCTAATTCCTTGAGGTATGTATTCACTGTAGCGTCCAAGCTCAAGTTGCCCGCTGCATGCTGATACAGTATACCGAGTACGGTGAAGGTCTTGGTGATGCTAGCGATGCGGTACAGCGCGTCGCCGTTGACTTCGGGGATATCTGGGCGCGATGCATTACGTTCGCGTGCCGTATGATGTTGCGACCATAACGTGTCCTTCGACGAAGTTATCTCTAGAGAGAAGGAGGTTCGGTCGAACTCCGGCGCTGCGACGGCTGCCGTGAGTGCCGTGGTGATGGACTCGAACGCGTCTTGAAGCAGAGGATCGCCAGCATTGTACCGAGGCGGCGGATGCGCAATGGTAGGTTCGAAGCATTTGGCGCTGGCCAAAGCGACTAGCAGGAAGGACGACAGCGGCACCATTTCGGCGTTGAACTGGGAGAACTACATGATAGAGTTTGACGTGAGGATGCCTAGATGTGCGACATGTCGCTCCCCGCACTGAGAGGAGCTTGGACCCCCAGCTCATCATGATCGCCGATGTAACCTCACAACTCACTTACTCCAAATCGATTCTGATGGTCATCAAAGGGGCCTGATACATGGAGCCCTAATAAACGGCGGTACTACTCTGCAGCTCAGTCTGTGTGAGCGTCTCAAAATGTTGTCGCGTTGTCACGTGCGAGGGTAGGATTGGCACCTGGGCACGGCAACGACTACAACATTGGTACCTAGGTAGTCACCTCAACGAGCACATTCATCCCCATCGCCTCGGCATGAATACTTCCGAATGCGCGCATCTCGCGTTATCTCATGTGCAATGCTTCGCCCACTGCTGCGATGTGTGGATCGACCCTTTACCCGTCGATATGGCTATATGACAGCCCCACAAGGAGCTTCATACCTAGGTAGCATCACGGCGTCTGACCTTTTCACCATGCACGAAGATAATCGAAAACAGATATAGGACTTGGCGTTTTATATTACCTACGCGCAGTAGGTTGACCACATGATACTGACTTACACCAGTTCGACATGTAGCCCTTCGTCCGGGAGGACACATAACAGTTCCAACTTCCTTTGGTAGCTTCACCTTCTTGCTGGTTGACAACTTGTATCATTCTATCTCATCGTCTCGACACCAGCCAATACAATGCGCACCATTTCATTTGCGATATTTACCTTGGTTGTCACCAGTGGTGGCACACCGCTGGGACACAACCCCGAGCGCCTTGGGGAAATCGTTCCTCGCCAGATGAATGTGACATGTCCAGCAACACCGAATCCCATGCCCAAAGCGGCGGCATTTCCTTCCGTAAAGACGATGCCAGATCCGTTTCTGTATCTCGACGGCAAGACCCGTGTCCAAAGCAAAGACGAATGGAACCAATGCCGCCAACCCGAGATCCTCAAGCTCCTCCAGGAATACCAATACGGGTACTACCCTGATCACTCGCAAGAGACTGTCTCCGCAACTCGAAATGGCAACACCTTGGCTGTGACTGTCACCACAGGAGGGAGGACCGCTAACATTGCAGCTTCTTTGAACTTGCCGAGTGGAGGCGGACCGTTCCCAGTGGTCATCTCGATCGGCGGGATGGACACTAAGAGCTATGTAAACGCGGGGATAGCGGTAGTCACATTCGATTATACCAAAGTCGCCGCAGACAGTAACAGTAAATCTGGCTCGTTTTGGACGCTGTATAGTGGTAGAGACATCGGTAAGTAGACCTTCTTGCCTACTGCAATGCACGCTTACAGTCAACAGGGGTACTGACTGCATGGGCATGGGGCTTTCATCGCGTTCTTGACGGCATCGAACTTAAGGTTCCAGAGATCGATGCAACCAAATCCGGCGTCACCGGTTGCTCTCGTCTGGGCAAAGCCGCTCTGGCTGCTGGGCTATTTGACAAGCGCATCGCCGTCACTATGCCAATGTGTTCTGGCGTTCAGGGGGCGGGGCCCTACCGATACAGCCTGAGTGGGCAGGGGGAGAATCTGGAGAATGCTGTAAGCACTAGGTCTCATTGAAGACTTCACAATCGTTTGAGATGTACGCACTGATGATTGTCCAGAAATCTGGAGCAGGATGGTGGACATCTTCTGGCATCTCGCAGTTCGTCGGCAAATCCTCCCAGCTCCCTTACGACGCCCACACGATCGTTGCAGCCATAGCCCCACGCGCAGTCATCCTCTCCCAGAACGTAAACGATCAATTCACGGACTCCAAAGGCACCGCCCAAGTGACCTTTCCTGCGGCTAAGGTCGTATACAATTGGTTAGGCGTGGGCGAGAAGCTGGGTATGAGCATACCGTCTGGTGGACACTGCGATATGAGTGGATACGCGGATATCTTGCCTTTTGTGCAAAAGATACTGCAGAATAAGAGCACGACGCGGAATTATGACGATTTGAAGACGTGGAAGGCTATGCCCGAGGCTTTCCCTTGGGGCAGCCATCTACCAAAGGCAACCTGAGTAGCAGACTCGTCTACGCCTATCACTGTAAGAAACGAATCTGAACACGTCGTTTTTTTCCACGATAGATAGCCGTGCCCATGGGTACACGAGTCGCCATCGAAGTAATGTATGTGCTCCTAATGTTGCTATTTCTTTACCGAAGCGATGCTATGCTATATGGTAGACCAGGCATTATCGATCGGTATCATCGCGCCGTTGATCATAGTCGACTCTTCTGAAGCGAGGAAAGCAATGCCACGGGCGACGTTGTCTACCCCGATGTAGGGAACCGGTGTACCCTCACTGTCTTTCGATACGTGCATTTGCACGATGGGACTGTATGAGTAAGTAAAGGCCGAAACGTGCAGGTGAAACCCATCAGAACTTACAAGAACGCGTTGAAGCCAGCGGAATCGAAGTGCTCCATCTGGACTGAAGAAGCGATGTTGGTCGCAACACCGCCGGGCAGCACACCATTGCACCGGATGCCTTCCTTGTGGAAGCGCCAAGCCACATTCTTCGTTGCACCGACCTATCAACTGTCAGCATAAAACCGCTATTGCTTAAGGAAGATTGTTTCTTACCAGACCGTGTTTGCTAGCAGTATACGCGATTCCCGCACTCGCCCCCGAAGTCCCCGCTTTGCTACCCACGTTGACAATGGCACCACCTTTCTGCTCCTTCATCGCCGGAAGAACCGCCTTCATCATGCGAATAGGTACTGTCAAGTTGATCGACATCACCCTCTCCCACTCTTCCTCGTGAATCGTGTCCGCACTACTCCAGCCATCGCTCACGCCCGCGCAGTTGACCAACACATCAATGCGGTTGTGCTTGCCAACGCACTTCGCCACTGCATGTTCCGCAGCTTGAGATTCGGTGAGATCAGTCTGGTAGAATGTGAATGTCGAATAGTCTTCCGCGAGCTTCTGCGGCTGTGCGCCAATGTCTATGCCGAAAACCGAGGCGCCTCGCTCAAGGAAGAGACGCGTTGTTGCTAGGCCGATACCGGAGCTGCAGCCGGTCACTATTGCGACTTTGTCTTGGAGAGTGGAAATGGACATGTTGGATTGCGGGTGATATTAATTGATGTATGGATGCGGGTTGATTGATGAATCATACGCTATTGGCGTTGCCCGCTGGTGGAAAACTTGGGATGACGTCAACGGTTAGCGCGAAGACGAGACCCACTTTTGGCGGTGCCCTCTTGAACGCGTCCTCTTCGGCGTCACCTTGGCTCTATCATCGACATCTCATTGCACAGCAGACTGCGGAGGGAAAGGAAGTCAGGTTCAACATAGGAAATGGGTATATTGTGACCTATTATGACAGCCATGGCACACGACCATGCCTTCCAAAAGCCATGCAAACGGAGCTTCTCCCCACGCATCAACGTGTCAACGCACTGCCACTGACCATCTAGATCACTTCTTCCATGCGGTGAACATCACTGTCCTTCGTCCAACGCCGAATCCTCTTGCCCAACCCGAAGTACAACGGGAACACAAACAGCGCAGGCCCCATTGCGCAAGCGAAAATGACCATGGCGGGGGTAATCCACCCATTCTTGCTCACGTGCGCAAGGTCGAAAACCCAGTAACTGTACGAGAACCCGATGAAGTTCTTACAGACTGTAGCGACGACCATGATCTCTCCGGAGATGGGCTTGTAGCAGTCGATCGCGTAGGCGATAGCGATGGTGGGTACTGTGGTGACGCTGAGACCAGCTAGCCCGTAGCCCCAAACTACGATATGACCCCACGCCCACTGCTGCTGGTATGCAACACCGCCGAGGATTATGGAAAGCATCATGATGACCACGTAGATGAACAACGCCGGAAGACGCATCTCGGCTTCGCGCACGCCACCATTTTTACGTGCTGCGCGGGCAGATACCCAGTCGGAGTATGGACCTGCTGTTGCCAGCCCGAACAAGGCGCCAATTGCGAATGCGAAGTTTGTGTATCCGACCTGATCTGGCCTGAAGAGATAAGGAGGTGCAGCAAGAACAGGCGACTCGGTGAGATTGAAGAAGAGGAGGATATCGGCTGGGCCAGCAAGCATCAGACCTGCCCACAAGATGATCGGGTTGAAGAAGACCTTGATGGGCGTCCAGGTATCGCGTACAACAAACATCTTCCACCTCGCATCTGGCTTCATGAACGGCATAAACTGCGCGCGAGATGGGCGTCCTTGTACAGTGATGGGCTGCTCGAGTGAGCTCCGCTCTGAGTCTTGAATACCAGCCTCCGTTGCTTGTTTCTCGAGCTTGGTCTGGTCCTCGTTGCTGGCGTTACTGCTAGTGGTTTGGATGACCGTTGTGTTGCCGCGATGGTACTTGGTCTCAGGGAAGGTGAGTGCGATCAGAATGACCGAAACACCAGACAATGCGGTCTCTAGCCAGAAGAACGACTGCCAGCCGTAATGAGCTGCCATGGAACCAGCCATGATCGGACCCAGGAAAGCTCCCATGAAGTAGCCGGTACTGCAAAATACGTCAGAAGAGGTTCGACCACGCGACGAAGCATCACTTACAAGTATACACCCGTCCAGAGACCCCTCTCGTGCTGATAGAAGACATCGGCGATCATCTGCACAGGGATACTCTCGCTCGTCGCACAGGCCAGACCGTTGACAGCACGCGCCGCCAGCAGACTACTATGACTGGTCGCCATCGCCTGCCATACGCATGACAAAAGAATGAACACGGAAAAGGTCAAGCTGATAGCGCGTCGACCGAAGATGTTGGAAAGCGGCACGATGATGAAGTTGGCGAAACCGAGTGTGATGACGGTGATGCCAGTCAGCATAGCCAGCTGATTATTGTTGAGATGGAACTGGGCGCCCAGAAGAGGGAACATCGGCGCAATGGATAGTGCGCCGGTAACGGAGATCCAGGTGAAGAGCCATTGCGAGGCCATCACCATGACTGTGATAGCTGTCAGCGAAGGCTCAAGCGTGGACGAAGGGTTAACATACGCTTCCATTTCCGGGTCCAGTTCAAAGGGTCGCGAGGATCAGAAGACGGCGTGGGTATGAGCGTTGTCTGCGCGGAGCTATCCTCGTTGATAATCTCCGTACCAGGGATGAGTTCAACATCGCTGTGGTTAGTCGCCATCTTGAAGTCGTTCGTCGCGATCTATCTTCCGTGTCTTAATCCTTTTAGCACGAACGCGCGGCGAGCCTGTCAACTTATACGCCCCCTCCATACTCGGCAATGTTGCGCTCCACGGTTCATGGATCTCTAGTTTCCCGCGGATGATGCATCACTCGGCTCGCAGTGCCATGTAGTGAGACACCATTTGCTGCGACGATCAGCAGTCACCGTTGATCCCTGTATCGAACTAGTGGGTGTCAGCTAACGCAATATCTGGCTACAGTAGCGAATGATGGTGTCGTGAAACCCAGCGACATTCGTGCCTTCAAAACGCTTATTGGACCTGTTCGCACTTCTGTAGCGCATTCACATATCCTTGCTAAACGATCATTGGGGAACCGCTGGCTGGTTGATACAGGGACTGCATATGCTTTTCGAGCTACAAAGTTCATGCGCTGGGTCTGCGAGGAAGGGAAAGTTGCTTGTCGTGCAGTTGCTTGACCCGCCAATCCTGTCCCACCACCTGCATGATGCGAGGTACAAGGCTGACGTCCCGAAAACTTTATCAATAAGCTTGTGCATGGCGCATTTTACCCTGTCTTCAGCCGAACCATAGCATACTGTTGCAATGACTTGGAGTAGTCTTCCTCTCAGACGCAGTTTGTTTTGCATCCGCTCTAGCGTGTGCTTTGTTTCTCTTCGACCCAGCAGGCGCAACTCGACGTTGTAGGTCTTTCGGCGCATTGCTGAAAGTACCCGCCTTTCCAGCATCTCATCAAAATTGCCTGCAAGGTTGCATAGTAATCACGAAGCTTTACTGTTCTCGGCATTGGAAGTGGAGACCCATCGTGCTGATGGCGGCGGGCGCCCATTCGGGAGGTCGCATCCTGGCACCACCGGAGAATGTGGGGATGCGCGCTGACGGACTCCCGCTTTACGGGGACGCCACTAGGCAAAACATATTGTCAAAGTTATTAGGGCTACTCGAACAACAGCTGTCTGGTTTGAACCTTGGAGGTGGACTATTGCGGAAGACTTGGCGGGGATGTTTCGTTTTGCAGAGTGCGGGACGTGCCGAGTGCGTCGCGGAAGTGCCGTTTCGAGCGCACCTGGGCACAGCCGCATCCTGCGAATCTGGTATCTACGGTACTGCAGGGCATACGAGAAAAAGGTACGATCATATCTTCGGAGTGTGTTTAATGCATGTCTGAGAAAACATGAAGATAGATGCGCCAGTATGATGCGGCACTTGAAGCTCGACGGCAAGTCGTGATTATAGAGGTCTCGCCTCGCCTCAAGTTCGACCTCGCAGGCAAGTTGTGCCGCAACATCTGGTACACCAATAGCTGACAGCAAAAGTAACCACGCTTCAATAGTTTCACAAGATGAAGCATTGGATGAATTGACTCTGCGGTCTTCTTGAAGCGCGGTTTTGTTTTAGCATCCTACCAATAGTAGCTAAACGTTTCCAGGGCTTTGTTGCGCAACCAATCGCATCCCTCGCAACCACACTTGCCTCAGAGCTTTGCTGAAACACCGACGGCTGCTTCCGTTGTTCCAAGGAAGATGCGCTTGTCCATACTCGACAGCTCTTTCCAATCCTGAGAGCGCGGATGCGTTTGTGGCGATAGCGCCTTCAGGTAGATCCATCGTGCTGCGATCTCTTGTGCAACAGGGTCTGGATTTGCTTGCGCATCGTACATCAGCGCGACGCTGCTGGCGATGGCCTCGAGATGTTGCAAGATTTCCTGTCCACGGTATAGCAGCTCTTCTTTCTGTGCATTATGGACAACGTCGTTGAGCGCCTGAAGTCTCTCTTCGACAATCGAGACCTGATCTTGGAAGATGGGAGCACATCGACCGAGCACGTCCCTGACCCACGGTGTGAAGATGTTCTTCATGACATCGCCGCCGCCCATTC